ACATTTGTGAAGTATGTACAAATATGCAAGAAGTAACTATGATGACACCTCAGAGGCTTATATCAGTTTCTAAATATGCATCACAAACTGACAGATTGGTTTTAAAGGACTATTACAAAATTGCTTTTGGTAAATGCACTTCTTTGATCAGGATGGCAGTGATATTATCTGCTTTGGAAGATGACTGGGAGTGGGCAGAATCTTTATCATAAATGGCTGCAGTGTTCTGTCTGTGTGCAAAGCACCCACAGATTTGCTGAAAGAGTGATGCTGAGAACTGTTTACACACTTTTAAGCAACGTGAAATATTTTGGTATACAACATAATATCTGGATTTTGATAAAATGCTGATAGAAGTAGATACAAAATACAGTTAGAAACACAAACACCACATTTGTCTTTGGAGAAAAAAAAAAAATCAGACTGTAGCTGACATAGAATCACAGAATCATCTAGGTTGGAAGAGACCTCAAGATCATCGAGTCCAACCTCTGACCTAACACTAACAAGTCCTCCACTAAACCATATCCCTAAGCTCTACATCTAAACGTCTTTTAAAGACCTCTAGGGATGGTGACTGAATCACTTCCCTGTGCAGCCCATTCCAATGCCGAACAACCCTTTCGATAAAGAAGTTCTTCCTAATATCCAACCTAAACCTCCCCTGGTGCAACTTTAGCATGCCTGTTACCAGGCATGTGGGAGAATAGACCAATCCCCACCCCACCTCACTACAGTTTCCTTTAAGGTATCTCTATATGACATCTTTCTGAAGTTGTCTTATTTCAAGAGGATATTTCTTTTCCTCCTTCTTCATTCAAGCTACATGTTGTGTGTTAATTATTTTTTTGGGTGCTTGTTGATGTTAATTGCCCAATGCTTGGATTGCAATAAATGCTTCAGACTGGAGTTTTGTGTAGGCTCCTTTGTGGTATGTTACTCCTAGATGATCATTTACTGTGTGGGGTGGGACGCAAGTAAATCCATGAACAGCATTAAAATTTCTGACAGTGAAGTACTGTTTGTCTTTGCCTGGTGCCTATGTGAAATGATCTGGCAAAATAGATACTGCAGAAATAATCTATTTTTTGTCCGTTTTGTCAAATGATAAATGTTCCTGTCTCTGTGGAGAATTTCTTAACAAATGCTGATTTTGCTAACAGAACGAAATAAATCAGAATTTGCTTAGTTGTATATGCTCAATCTTCTAGACAATTGGAAAACCACTTATCAAAAGAAATGTCCAACTGTTACTAACTTTTCATACATTTTTGTCTTGCAAATCAATTACTTACAGAAAAGTTGAGGTTGTTTTATCTCCTTTTAGTAATAGTAGAAATGTATCATTGTGTGCTAGAATAGTTGATGTGAATTTTTCCATATCTATTATTGAAATCAAATGATAGAAAATTGAAAAACATGGAGGGTTACATTTTTTTAAATGCTTTTTCCACCAACTTCACACTATATATATATATATATATATTTACAGGGCAGAGGAAATGGCTGATTTAAAGCATTGCATTGCTTAGAAGTACTCTTAAGAGTAGCAGTATTACAAGATAGTCTGCAACTGTGCAATATAAAGGACAGCCCAGAAAACAGGTTCTTCCACTGCTGCTAGTGATAGCATTTTGTTTAATTGCAGCCTTACTGTCACAGTCCTGTTTTGTCAAGATGACATTAAAATAAAAAAAAATTATTTTAAAACTTATTACAAATTTTGAATGAACTTTGTATTGTTTTAGCTATTTTTTAAAATTAAAAAAAAATTATTTTTTAAAATGTAGTTACAGGAGAATGATGAGAGCCTATATGTCAGACCACCTTTGTGGTGGAAGGAAGAGAATTTGTTATTAATGACACCTTTTGAAGTTATATTTCGTGTGTGTTCATATCTACTGAGATTCAGATTTCTTTTTTTACTAGGTACTGTAAAATCAACCATTTTTGAGACTGAATCAAATTTCCCAGCCTCCTGCACACTGAGTACTGAGAGATGCACAGACTAAGCTGGCACCTCTTCTCTCCACACACAATCACTAGAGCACAAGAACACTAAAACCAGCTGCTGTTCTTTCCAGCCACGTTATTTCTTCTCTTCTGCAACCTTCCACTGAGGGCTGAATAAGTAACAGAAGTATTATTATGGCAATGAAATTCTGAATATAAAATAGGTATTAAGTAAATGCCTTGATTTTCCAGGTCTTGCAGATCAAGTACATACCTCTAGTTTGTTGCAAATGTTCTTGAAGGTTTCCAGCAGTTGGCAGGGCATGTGCCATGCAAGATGTGTGGTCTTTTTTATTAGAACTTATATATTAGAGGAAAAAGATTATGTTTATATTTTTTTATTTTGGACCTTTGACTTTTGATTTAGGGGAAAAATGAATGAATATTCTAAGTAGTAGTATAATTATAAAATCCTAAATTATCAATTGATAAATTATACCCACATATTTTGAAGCAAATTAATTATTAATTTCCAAAGGCACCAGTTTTTCAAAATTGACAAGTGTGGCTTTTAAATATTGTCTAACAGTAAACTAATAGACTATGGTGTAATTCTGTGTTGCTGGAAAATGTTGGTTTCCACTGTAACATGCAGTATTAAGACAAATGCAGTGAAGAGTATGGTTTTCTTCACTTAATGGCAAAGTTTAAATCAATAAATCTGATGACCTGAAAACAGACTCTTGACTGGGATGGATTTTGGAATACTTTCTAAGAACTTTAAAGTCAACTCTGAAGGAAACAGTTTTTATCAGAAGCTGACAGGCTGAACATGATCTGTGCAGCTTGAAATAAGTGAGTCAAATTTGTACTTGGTCTGTTGACATAATAAATATGATAATTGTTCATGGCAGTGCATTTTCTATTTGTTTTAAATTCTCCAAAGCTTCAAATCCAGCGGGACATAAACAGGCTTTGACATCATTAATTAACTGGGAATGTTTTCCATTTACTGTTAATCAAGTGCATTTTACTACAGTTAGTATTTGTTACAATAACATTTACCCACTATGTTCTTGTATTTTCTTCAATAAATCCCCCCCCAAAAAAAAACAAAAAGCAAAATACAACAACAACAACAACGAAAGAACCAACAATTCTGTTTTAGACAAATCATTGTGCTATCCTAAATTAATTCTCTCAGAGTGAATAGCAGAACTTGAGCAGGAGTTTAGTAATGGCAGAAATGAACTTGCAGAGTTGAAATCAAAATGTTTAAAATCAGACCAAGGGTGGGGGAGGGGGGAAGGGAACAATCTCTCCTACTTTCCCCCACCAAGAAAAATGCAGGTGGTGTGTTTGAGGCTTCTTAAAGATTGCTAGACTACTATTAACATTTCAGATAAAATAGTCTCATAATAGGAAATGGTATACAAGTAAATTATTGAAATGAGAAAATTACAGTATATCCAGAATTCAATGTTCTAAATATTTACTGACACCTTTGTACTTTAACCTTCTTATGAAATTGTCTGCAAATTATATTTTATCAAATATTATTTGCTTACTAGGACATTTGCACAAGTTTTTACAGAGAAGTATACTATTAAAACAAGTCCGAAGTGTCACCGTGTCTTAAATATCATTTTTGTTGGAAGAAATGGGTATAATAAGTGTAGGTATTCTCTCACAGTAGATTCCTTTCTTCTGTCACCAGCCAGGACATGACTGGTCCTGACTTATTATTGTTTTGATCACTGAAATGATCATTCAGGTGATTTGAGTCATTGTTTTTGATGTCCTTGTTCTTCCCTCTGTGGTGTTATATACAACTCAGAGACGGGCAAATTTTATCGACAAATTTTGTTAAGAATACCATCTCATTTTATTGAGTGTTGTGCTGTGGACTGGACTAAGACTCTGCTTTAGAGGTTTGGAAGATTTTTTTTTTTTGCACATAGGCTAAAGCTGAGAGAAGCCAAGTGTTTTTCGTCTTTCTTGCAGTATCGTGGAGGTATGATTATGTGAATAGGTTAAGGGTTCAGAAATGAGTAATGAGCAATGATTAGTTCACGACAACTCAAACACATTTTAAGTAGAGATAAGCAAACAATAGCTAGACTGCAAGCCATCACTTAGAGTGCAAGCTATAGTGGAATGACACGGGAAGGAGGAATTCTCCCTGTATTAAATGCTTTGAAGTTTGGCTTGAAAGAGTATTATGCTTTTTTGTGTATTATGTTCTTACAAGCATCATTTATAAACACTGATAAGGGGAAAAAAGAAAAAAAAAAGTTGATGTGCAGAAACCGGAGGATCAAAATTGTTTTGAATACATTTTCAGTGCTCAGTCTGAGAGTCACTCACACTGTAAAGCGACCATAAATTAATGCTCATCCATATTATACAAATGATACTTCCATGCCTGCATTCAGATAAAGGCTCATGTTTATGTGGTTTATGTCAGGTTTTCTTTGCATGGAAAGCTAAAAACATCTAGATATGCTTATACTATAAGTATTCATAATTAAGTATTGTATAAAGCTCATGAAATAGATATCTGCAAGAACTTCAGCTGAGAAGGAAGAGGATTCTAGGTTGCTAAGGCACGGTAGGTTGGCAAGCGTATTGGGGACTGTTAGTGTTAGGTTAGAGGTTGGACTCGATGATCTTGAGGTCTCTTCCAACCTAGAAATTCTGTGATTCTGTGATTCTGTGAAAATGATTTTGGATAGAATATAAGGGTTTTTAACTTTCGATTTTCTGATGTTCGGTTGTGGGGAGCAGCAACTGAACTGGTGTGCAGGAAAATCACTTGCATCCTATGGCGCGTGAGATAAATATTTCTATTGTATTTTCTGAAGAGTTCTGGTTCTAACCCAGATGTTTCATCTCTATGACTGTCTCTTGGCACACAACAACCTTCTGTCATGCAAATAAACATCAAATAAATGGAGAATGTCAGCAACAGCGTAACATGAAACTAATAATTAGTTGTCAAATTTTCAGCAGATTCTCTGAATAATTTGTCCTTTTTTCCTCCCTAGAAATACAAAGAATATGAGAAGGATGTTGCAATAGAAGAAATTGATGGCCTTCAGCTTGTGAAAAAGTTAGCAAAGAACATGGAAGAAATGTTTCACAAAAAATCTGAAGCTGTACGGGTAAGCAGCAGATCAGTCTACTATTTCATTCTGTCATGTAAAACTAAGAACAGAACTTAGGCTTTGCTCTGAAAGCTGGAGTGGAAATGCTAAAGTGTTCAGAAATATTTTAAATATTTTTAGGATCAGTTTTTAGAGAATAGAGGTAAATTATTTATGCTGGCAGTAGTTAAACTCAAGAATGTGTAGTTAGGTTTGGACTACCAGCTTCCCATTTAGATTTGTAAGGTATCGCTTGCATTTGCTCAAACATAACTATATATTGTTGTGCATTTATGTTAGAGTTTGCAATATCAAACCAAAGCAAAACAGACTTCATTCCATTGCTCTCTAGCATAAAAATAACATTGGGGAGAGTCTTCTGAGATCAACAGCTATCTTTTAGTTCAGATCCAGAAAAAGATGCAAATGTTTATTATACACAATATTTATTATATACATATTTTAAATATATACAAAAAATTAAATATAAAAATATAAATAAACATTTATATTTTTAATTTATAAATAAACATTAATTTATAAATAAACATTTATATTTTTATATAAGTATAAATTTATATAAATTTATATAAATTTTATATAAATTTTTATATAAGCTCCTGAATAGGAGCTTTTTGTAACAAGTATTCTAAATAATAGCAAGTTTGCTGTTGTAATTTACATTTTACATTATTCTTTGCTAGGAATTTAGGTGACTGTTTGTAACTGTATTTTCTGTTGTATCACCTATGTCAACAAACAGATTGTCCACTGTGGTGATGCAATTTGACATCTACTGTGCTGCAGGTCAAGTGTGTCTGCTCAGTGGAGTTTATGTCTCAGCTGTGGGGCAGAAGGCATCACTCAAGGAAGGGGATTCCATTTGTGTAGCTGAAGATACAATTCAGCATTTTATTTTTTGTTACAGTGCAAAAGGGAGGAAGGAATTTGGTGCTAGTTTAGAGGTTGAATTTTTTTGGTTGGCAGCAAAGTAAAACATATTTCAGCTTGTAAACTGAGCACGCTTGGCAGGGAAGCAGAGAAAGACAATAAACATGGAACCCCGCAGTGCTATTTTAAAAGTGTGTTTTTCAGAGAAAAACTGCACTTTAAGATGTGTGCAACAGCTTCCAGAAGCCTGCAGATTGCCTGCAGAAGTACATTGACTCTGGTGGGACTGTTTTCCTTTTTCCTTAGTAGAGAAAACTACTGCCCTGAGAACATAAAAATGTGAAAAAGCAATCTTGCAACAGCAGCCTTTTAGAGCCAGAAGTGAGCAGCAAGCTGCATGCAAGGCAAGAGAACATCTTTTCCATAAGCGTGGGTTGGTGTTAGGGAAGAGCACGTGGTATCTCAATTACAGCTTTGTAACGGGTGTTTTCTAATGGTTGTGTACAGGGCTGGTTTGGCCCCTTCAGACATATGGTGTTTTTCCTCTAAGGACAGGAAAAAAAACAACCCAAAGCTTCACAGACCAATGTAGGCAACTGTGTTCTGTGTAAAAGTAAGCCCAATTTCTTTCAAGTTAAAGCGTGTATGTAATGTTGTGTGAAAGGGCTTTAAAAACCTAAGACCCAGACCCTTCTTTCGACAGTTTAGATCTTTGGAAAAGAAGTTAGAAGCTTTGTTTGGACAGGGCTGCTTTATTTTTAAAATTCATCTGTATAGTGTGCCTTCCAGGAAAGTTATGTTTTCCATAATTCCATGAGGTGGAGCACCTTGGACAGTTCAGACCGTAGCTAGAGGTGCAGCAGGAGACCTTTCATGCTCTGGTAGTAAGTTGAAAGCCCACCAGAGTTCAAATCACCAATAGAGCTTAGTAGTTTTGTCCTGACATGTTTTGCCCAACTTGCATCTTTGGTACACCATAGCTCATTTTCTCTTATCTGGAGAGGTGAGATAGGACTTTGAAAGCTCATATGGAGCTGAGACCTCTGCTCCATGTTTAGACAAAGTAATGTTACTCACCTTGCCTCTAAGATAATAGAATTTTGACCTAAATTTTGATGGAAATGTACTGAGCACTGAAACCTAGAGGTTAAATTAATATTTTAGATGAAGTAGTGGTAATATTTGGATAAGTACCAAATGAAGTACCAAATTATAAAATATCCCCCAGCGCTAGAAATATAGGGTAACCATTGAGAAGGTTGATATCTAAGTGCTCAAAAAATGTGTTTGTGTTAGCCCAAATAGTTACTCTAAAGCGCAGGTTGAATTAGATACAAGTAGATCGTAATCCATAGTGTAATGTAAAATATTTTTTTAGATAAATTGTTTTAATCAATGTACTTTCTCAGCTTTTAGCAGATTTAACATCATCTGACAACTATTGAGAGAGCCACAGTAATACAAAATGTTTAATTTGTGGAAAAGGCCAATAAGAAGACCTGGAAATATAGAAATAGGGTGGCTTGGAAAGGTCTTCAGGTTTGGGGGGGATTGCTTTGTGTTTCAAACACATTAATGTGTTCTAGGATACTAATCACTGTTGAACTTTTTCCTCCTCCCAGTTTATAGTCTGGCTGATTTTTTCTTATCTTTGTCTCATCACTTTTGATAGTGATTAGTTGGCTCGGTATGATTTTTATCATATTCATCCCCTGTTTGAATTACCCTTCACTATGCAATTATCCTATCACAGAATGTCCCATTTTTGTGCTGTCAGATACATAAAAATAAATGGAAAACTGAAAGTGCTAAACCAATTATATAACCTTTTGTCATCTACTTACTGATGGAGACCCTACCAAGCAACTCCCCCCACTCCCAGAGTTCATTATTTACATTAGATTTATAGCAGTTCAGGATATTCCTGTTAACTGTTTCTTCCCTAACACTGCCCTACTTGATGGAATTTCAGATAGGCAGCTTCAGATCTTGTTTTGAAATATTTCTGACACAATTGGAGTTAAACCCATTAAGAGTGGTTTTGATTCAATGTTACTAATACTTAATTTTGTTTATAGCTCTTTAAGAATATTTAAGACATTCAAGGTGGGATAAATGGAAACGTTTCATAGAGTCATAGAATATCCCGAGTTGGAAGGGACCCTTAAGGATCATCAAATACAACTTCTGGCACCGCACAGGTCTGCCGAAAAGTTTAGACCATGTGACTAAGTGAACAGTCCAATTGCTTCTTAAATTCGGACAGGCTTGGTGCAGTGACTACGTCCCTGGGGAGCCTGTTCCAGTGTGCAGCCACCCTCTCGGTGAAGAACCTCTTCCTGATGTCCAGCCTAAACTTCCCCTGCCTCAGTTTAACACCATTCCTGAGGGTCCTATCACTGGTGTTTACAGAGAATAGGTCACCTGCCTCTCCTCTCCCCCTCACGAGGATGTTGTCGACCTGCCATGAGGTCCCCCCTCAGCATCCTCCAGGCTGAACAGGCTCAGTGCCCTCAGCTGCTCCTCATACGTCTTCCTCTCTAGGCTCTTCACCATCTTTTGTCACCCTCCTCTGGACACTCTCCAACAGTTTAATGTCCTTCTTGTACTGCGGTGCCCAGAACTGCACACAATACTCAAGGTGAGGCCGCACCAGCACAAAGTAGAGCGGGACAATCACCTCCCTCAACCAACTCATTTCCTGCATTGTACAGCAGTGGTTTTAATTTTACAGCCAAACCCAAATAATCACTTTGAGAGCCTTGCATAGTTTGCTGTCACTTGTGATATTAGTTAATTGATTTCCATGGACTTTTAGTGATTTCACTTACAGGAAATGGGCTTGACCTGACTTAATTTAAAGTTATCTGTGATTTAAAATCAAAACAAAACATAATTTTTTTAGGAGGTCTCATGACATTATAGTGACTCCACTCACATTTGAAACTGAAAGGAGTACGGCATGATGACAGTGCTCAGTAACAAATGACTACTGTAACAAATCTAAGGGCAGAAAAGAGGTGGAATTAAAACAATGCATTTGCTGTTTTTATTTTTTCTGTTAATGGCGTCATAGAAAAACAAAGTGAGGGAAATGAAAGAAGTCAGTATGAAAGAGAAATTATTAGGGAATATTAAAAACTATTCTTAAAACTTTATGTAGTTAAATTTCTATTTTCAGTAGATTGACACTGAAAGATGGCAAGTAAAGTGTTAAGAATTATTTTTCTTTCAGGCAACTACCATTGCTGCAGTGGAAAATGCAAATAAAATATTTTTTTTATTAACTTTTTATACTGTAGCTACCTGGTGTTCATTGTGGAGCTGATTCTCATTATAACTGTGCTGTGAAAAGTAATTGCTGTTGTACAGTAATTCAATTTCTGTGCATTCATGCATCAGTAAGCCAGTGGAGTTTATCTAGAGAAAGCCGGGACTTTAGAGCTTTTTATCATGAAATTCCATATGCAGAGAAATGGTCTTCCAAGGAGTAGAATATCAGCTTTTACATTTAAAAAACATTTACAATGAAGAGAAATAGATTTTTATTTTTCCTCACCAATGATTTTTACACCAGCCTTCAAACTGTTTTCAGATACTATTAGGGTCATATTGTCTATGTACAGATAAAAAAAAATGTACTGTCTTTGAAATGTTCATGCTTATTCATATACTGTCTGTTTGCACATTTTAGTTTATGAATGTGTATATATGTGTGAGTACGTACCTTTACACATGCATACATGCTGAGGTTTCTATATATAATATATAGAATATACAAATATGTGTTATATAGAATAGATGAATAGATGCAGAATAGATGCAGTTCATTATTGATTTGTATGTGTGTGCATATACATGAATTAAGCAAGCAATATGTTAAACTACATGTACTTCATCCACATATCAAAAGGTAAATACTGGTGAACTGTTATCCTGACTAATTAATAGATTTTCATTTTTTAAACGTATAGAATCATTAATGCTGGAAAAGACCTCCAAGATCATCTGGTCCAACCATCACCCTTCTATCAATGTCACCCACTAAGCTATGTCCCTTAGCACCAGGTCCAACCTTTCCTTAAACACCCCCAGGGGCGGTGATGCCACCACCTCACTGAGCAACC